ACCTGACCCAAATGTGAATAAACTCGCGTCGTTCGGTGGGGCCTCGTAGCTCAGATGATTAGACCTTTGGTTGTACTAAAGCCTCCTCTTGTTGTCATGGCTTCGAATCCCACCGGGGCACCGAATTTTTCACAGTTGGGTCAAAGTGAATTCTCGATATAGGGCACAATAATATCAAATACTCCAAGTTGGAAATCGTAGCTTCATAATTTCCTTATAAATTAACTGCGAACTTGGATTAGATCAGTATATTTAAGGTCTATAGGTTCAGACCAAAGCTTTTACGTATGAATATTTGGGCCGAAGTACATCAGACACGGCGGAAAACCGAGTAATATTCATAAACTGCCTTGCAGGCAGCTAGTAGTATACTTTAGGTTAAGGTGATTCCATACTAACAGCACAGGTACTAGCCAATTGGAGTATCTACCAGGAAGCAGACAGGGAATGCTGGAGGACCCACGGACGAGCCGAACCCCTCACAGCTGTGTCATGGAGCGGCAGAATATCGGCGAAGCACGCGTGTATGGGCTTTGACTAGTACCTGTGCCGTTAGTATGGAATCCCTTACCCTAAAGTATACTACTAGCTGCCTGTAGGCAGTTAATGAATATTGCGTGGTTATCCGCTGTGGCTGATAGACTTTGGCCCAAATATTCATACATAAAAACTTAGGTTTGAGTCTATAGACCTAGAATATACTGATCTACTCCAAGTTTGCAGTTAATTTCTAAGGAAATTAAAAAGTTACAGATTTTGAACAATTCGGCGCCTCGGTGGGATTCGAACACACGACAGACCTGAGCTACGATGCCCCACTGGAAGGTATGAGGTTAATTACATTTGGGTCAAGTTTACCCGCCTAACCTACTGCAACGTCTGGAATCCGCCAAATCTAATACAGTAAATTGACTGCCCAAGCAGGATTTCTCAAGTAATCCACCTAGAATCCACTAGATGACTACCGAGCTCACGTAATTTATAGATGTCTTATTTCACTCTACAGGCCTGAGCCTGTGCCATCGGGGGGTATCATCACTATCCCCTGTACGGGTCATTACTTTACGTAGGAGACCCAGAATAACCAGCGCCTTTGGAAGTATGTGTATTCCAATTTTGGGGCCAGCAACAAAAGGACGTTTCACGCATTAGGCAACGACCCCTGTTAATTCTTAGGCCTTTGTAAAACCGATGATCGGTCTCACCTACCTTGAGTACCAAAGGCGTTAATCATAGGTGAGTTCAAGTTCTCGACTTCAATTACTGGCCGTCTTTCTTTCTTTCTCTCTCCCTATTCCTCTCTCTATCGGTTAAAATATGGAAGACTAACCTAAAGAGCAAAATGCATAGGTCCAACCGCTTTGCTTCAACATCCCTGGTTGGTTATTAACGGTAAAAACATAAGCTGGTCGCTTTTGTACGCAAGTTTTTTACTTCTCAATTGTGGCATTTTTTCGATTCTCGTGCGTTTTGCTTCTTTTGTACATCCGAGGACAGTCTTTGTGCACTACTTAAGGGGAGGCGGAGAGTGCGACTAAGTTGTAGGATCCGGTAGTTAGATATATTGACGAGGCAACGTGAGAAACTAATAGCGGTGGGGGGAGGAAGGGGTTGGACCCGATACTACAAATGCCACGTAATGCTACCAGACCGGCCATGAGTTCAGCAGCGACGCCATTGAAATCGTTTGTTGAGATTATGCCTAATAAACACGAGGAAAGGTTGCCGAGCGACTGATCAATCAATCGTCGGAGTGCCTGTGCATAAAACGCTTTAACATAACCACATGATAAGCAATCAGATGGTCAGACAAAGTGTGCAACCGACACGTAAGTAGTCGTATCCAGTCTACAAGCGGTGCTGATTGTCTATTATACCAACCGTCCCGACCAGTGGCCTTAGTACTCAGGAGTTAGATTGAATCCACCGGTCGCTTCTGA